CTAAACCTTTGTCCCAAACCCACACCCATAATTTGCGAGGCTGCTTTTTTTGGGAAAATTGACCACACCTTGTAGGAAAAACCCGTCCACACACACACACACACACACACACACACACACACAGTAGGCAGGAAGAGGGAGAAACACAAATCTCTTTATTAATAATAATAATTATAATAAATACCAAACATACACCTAACAAAAGTTACAACTAATCCAACAGGTATGATACAAACCAAAAATAAAATAAATGTTTATATGTTTGTACAAGCTGTTGTTGTAGTTCTTATATATATATATTTATATTTATATCATTTATATAGTAAAACTATTTCAAACGCTTTACTACTGGGCCAGATGAGGCCAGACATTCATGTGTAAACAACAGTTTCTTCTTCTCTAACCACAGATTTGAAATAAACGCTTAGTGTCTCCAGAATCTGAGTGCAAATCTGTATTTCCTGACAGGATGAAGAGTYAAAGTGAGGAGAGTGAAGTAAACACTTACATACAGCTCCCAGTCAGACCCGCTCAAACCTTTTACATTCCTAAAATAAAAAAGGCAATAAGTTAAAGAGGATGGAAAACACATAAACACCTTAAATATTAAAATCAACATAATAAAAAAAACAAAAACTAATCAAACATTTTTCTTGTGCAAAAACCCAGAAGTGAATCTTTCTGCTCAGGAGGGCTTAGCTTTGAACAAGACAGATGAAACATTAAAACCACGTTCACGGGAGGAAAACACGTCATGTTCGCCACACAAACAGGCAGGCGGGGTCAAACTGAGACCAGGGGGCGGGGTCTGGACCGGGTCAGGAGGTGGGGGGCGGGTGAGACCACTAAAATAAAACTGCAGAATCCGACAGGTCGATTCACAAACCACTGACTTCAGAACGAACCACAGCGCTGCGTACAGGAGAGGCTAAAAGGTTTCAGCTGTGGGCACAAAATGACAACAGTTACACACTTTTTTTTTAGCTTTTGTTGTTTTTTTTTTAGCTTGAGCACTTTTACGGAGCACTACCAACAGACCTGTGATTGCACCGCGGAACGAGAACAGGACATGCATAGCTTCCCTAGAATCACACTCTATGGATAATAGAGACTTCTTTGATTAAATTACAATTAATCTAGCTTGAAAATCAAGTATGATACTGTTAGCTGTAGCCTTTGGGAACAACAACAACAAAAAAAGAAATCAAGAGTTTGCAGCTCCGTTTGTTACTCTGGARATAATGTACAGCAGCAGGAAACTCCTGGAGGCGTCACGCTCACTTCCTGTTGGTCAGAAACACGCAGGAAGCCTTTCAGGAGCGGTTCTGTCTCTTTGGACCCCCGGGGGTGTGGGGGAAGCAGGGCTTACAGGATGTCGACTAAGCTGCTGGGAATATTGTAGCGGTCAGGGAGGACCCTCATCTTCAGGGTGCCGTCCGCTCCGCAGGTGAAGATCCGGTTCCCGGGAAGAGTCTCCACCTTCATCACGCCGGCGCCGATGTTCCTGAAGATGGACTGCTTGGCGTGTTCGTTGCTGAACGAGTGCATGAGGCCGTGGCCAGCTAACTTCCACACCTGCAGGAGAAGAAGGAGGAGGAGTTAACTCTGTTAGTTACTCCTGAACAGTGATTATTATGCTAACAATCATTTAACTAAGACACCTGGTTAGAAATGATCTGAATATTTAATCACTGAATCAATTAAAGCTCCTCAAAGTTATGAAATCAAACATAAAATGTTTATTTTAAAATTTCTCCACCTAAGGTCTTACTCCCTGAGAACCAGGACCTCCGATTTGTAGATTTAATAAATCTGTAATACGACAATGATGAAAGAATTGTAAAGAAATAATCAATAAAATGTTATTTGGGCTTTTCATTGTATAAAACAAGTTTGTTGGAGATCATTGTGATACACAACATCATATATTTTATACAAATATGTCTAAAATGGCTGAGTTATGGTCATTTAGCTATGGCGACCATCTTGGATTTTTGATTTTGCTTCAGTATGTGATGGAGATCCTTCTTTGCTACCACCACACCAAATTTTAGCTAAAAATGGCCGAGTTATTGTAGTTTCAAGTTAGCTACGGTGGCCATCTTGGATGTTTATTTAGTATTCAGAATTTGCCAAAGCTTGATCTTAGCTACTACTGAACCAGTTTTCAGCTCTGTAAGTTTTAAAATGGCTGAGTTAGAGTATTTTTTTATATAGATTAGCATTAGCAGTTAGCTTAACCTTCTGATTAGCATGATTAGCATTCAGGATGTGTTGAGTTAGCTCTCAGCTACCAGCACACCAAATATCAGCTTTGTATGTCTTAAAACTGCTGAGTAATCTGGGAGCCATGTTGGGTTACATAAAGCCCCTTGTTGTTCTGTCACTGAGGCTACTCTGCCCAGCAACAGCCTCAGCCAATCAGAAGGCCTGATTGTGGTTTAAAAAAACAGCTGCTGTGTGAAAACTATAAGATCTATTTTAATAATTCTTGATCCGTGAGCGACAGAAGAGATTGTACAGATCTTTATCTCAGAGATATGATGAGTTAAAATAAATGTTTTGCTTCTGAACTGCATCATGACAGAAATTGAACATGGAAACAGGACAAGAAACAGGACTTCCCTGACTTCTGATGCACTTTGAGAGAAAGAAATCTTAAAGAAATCTTTTAAAGCCTGACAGCTCACAGTTAAAATCAGCTGGGAGCTCAGCTCAGTGTTTTCCTATGAGGATTTTTGATGGTAGTTTTTTGAGCTTTATGCCACCATGGTAAGTTGAAACACCACTAAACGTAACAGCACACCTCCCAGCACCGAGCCGGTCGTTTTGATGTAACGTTTGTGGTAGTGTGTGTTGCCATTCAAGCCACATTAATACATTAATGTAGAAGTATAAAAAGATATAATGAATAGAGATAACAGGTGCTGCCACTGAAATGAATGGAGGCAGACGAAGGCATTGTTTATTCCTGATATGGCAAGTCCTAATGAAGGTCTATTCTGACACGTGAACAGGAAGTGGCCTGGGACTGGCAGGCCTTCAGAACAGACGGACCTCAGAGGGGTTTTGAGACTCCGCCCACCCCCCTTACCTTCATGTTGCCCTCTGCAGAGCCGGTGACGAAGAAGTCCTCGAAGGGGTCCAGAGCGAGGGCCTTGATGGCAGAGTCGTGGGCCTGGAAGGTGTGCAGCAGCTGCCGCTGGCGGATGTCGAACACACACACGAAGCCCTTCCTGCCTCCAGAGATCAGCAGCTGCTGCTTCTGAGCGTACTGAAGCACCGTGGCGCCGTTGTCATGGCAAGGGAAGGCTGAGGGGGAGGGAGGAGACGTGTGAGCGTCACTTTGGAGTGTCACATCAGAGCGACACGTCAGAATGTCTCATCTACAGGGGGTTACAGGGTCTCTTACCGTGGACCATGGTGTTGCTGGGAGAGATCAGAGTGTCCCACATGCAGACGTTTCTGGAAATAAACAGTGGGAGAGATGAGAGGTACAAACAGGACTGTGGTTGAGATGAAGGCCTCTGCAGAACAGAACCTGACCTGCTGTCGTTGGACTGTCCGGCTGTGGCGATCAGGCTGGAGGACGTGATGAAGGCAAAATCACTGCAGGCCTTAGAGTGACACTGCCAGCTCTGACAGATGAAGGAAACATGCAGAGAGAGCCACAGTTACTGACTTACACAGTGTGTGTGTGCACGTGTGTGCACGTGTGAGCTCACCAGGTATGGTTTGGGGTTGGAGGACGTCTGGTTGACCTGCCAGAGACTCAGGAATCCTTCTCCATCAGCAACTCCACACTGAGACAAGAATTACCCAGAATAATCAGAGGTAGACAAAACATCCATCTGTGTGTGTGTGTGTGTGTGTGTGTGTGTGTGTGTGTGTGTGTACCTTATTGCCTTGGGAGTTAAAGTAAAGTCGGGTGACTCGAGCGTTTCCTGCTTGTCTGAAGCAGATGAGCTGCTGAGGTCTGTTCCACTCAAACATTCTCACACTGCCGTCCTGAGCGCCCGTCATGTCTGATACACACAAATACACAACAAATACACAACCAGATAAAACGGTCAGGGGCGGAGTGAATTAAAACTTATAAAAGAACTTTGTTAAAAATAATAAACTTACAATACTGATATATAGGATGAGACGTCATCCTCTTCACATTATTTAGGTTCCTCTTCATAATCTGAAATATAAAAACTTTATTTTTTCATAGTTCTGATGATTATCATCCCTCTGAGGGTCAAACAGAGACTTTAAGTTAAAGGCTGTGTATCTTTATCTGTGTGTTAGCAAAATATCTGAATCAGAGGATGGATTTTAATGAAAAGTCAGTTCAAAGTTGCTGCAGCAGCTAAAAAACTTTATTAAAACACAAAGTGGTTTAAATGTTTGGTGTGGTGGTGGCTGAGAGTCATCCTGAACTCGTACTGTGAGTGCTCACAAATCACAGCAACACAGTTTAAACCTCTGACACGAATGTCTTACACGTGGAGTCCCACAGGGCTTGATTCAGAGGCCGCTTTTATTTTCATTAAACCTGCTTCTACTGGGGTCTATTATAAGGAAGCAGGATCTTTGTGTTCATTGTTACGCTGATGATTGTCAGGTTTATATGGCCCTGAAATGTACAAATAGTTCTATAAATCCACTGTTGAAATGCCTGGATGGAGTCACATTTTTAAAGTTTGAATGATGATAAAACTGGAGTGATTTTTTGCTATACAAATAAAGCTGACACTGACAATGAGGCAGCAGATCTGAACAGGTTCATAAGACGCTGTGATGAACGAACGCAGCTGTAAAACACATCAGAATCTAACAGATGTTGTAACTATAAATATAAAAGTCCCAGACATGATTAAAAGGTTCAGCTGATGTAACTCTGAGCTCTCACCGTTCTAACTCGGGATGAAACACTGAATGACGCAGAACGAGCCCCTCGGGAAACCCTCAGGAAACCCCTCCGTCGCYTCTTCCCTGAACATTTATCAGCTCCGCCGGGACACGGAGAACCCTGGACGAGTGTGGCTGTGACGCAGATCTGCACCTTGGGTTGCCGGCTGCGTCCCTGCCTCCCCACCCCCCCTCCATATCAGAACTTTAGACTCAGCAGGACAGCTGTTTAGTCGGCCCGGCCCGCTTTGATAAGAACTAAAAACACGACAGAAGCTAACACTGCCGCTCCTGCTGAACCAAACCTGTTTATATTTGGTGTCTGGAAAACCCCCAAACCAGACTGAACTGAGAAACTTCAGTTTGTTGAAGCAAACTAAAATTAGAACAGTAACTAAAAACTAAATATAGCAAAAAGAACTTAAAAGCTAAAATGAGCCAGTATTAAAAAGGTAGACATTTTATTTATTTTAAGGAAACATAAAAAGTTAAACTAAGTTCAACATTTTTAAAAAATAAAAGTTTCTAAAACCAAAACTCAATGGGCCTCATGCAAGAACATGTTTGTATTCTTCTCCTAAATTTCTCTTACTTTTGTTCGTACAAAGGGTTCGTACGAACATGTCACGTCAGATTCAACAAACTCTTCTATCTTCAGGAAAAGTGTGTAAATGAGCTGCGTAAATTCACCTGTTCTATCCAGCTGCTCGTGCACGAGAGAGGAGATTAGCATAATTACCACCCCAAAAACACCATATAAGGCTGTGTTTCCTGCCTCAGATATCAGGAAGTGTCCATTCATGAAAATGACAGTGAAAACTAAAAAGAAAAACTTTACGAGTTCAGAGATTGAAGTCCGTCTGTCAGAGATCCAGAAAAGAAAATCTGTCATTTTTAGCAGGTCAGCTGTGGAATAAAAAGAGCTGCTAAAAGTATAAACAACTGTGTTAAATCATTTTCATTTATTCAGAAGACACAGCGCTCCTGTGGCTCCTGTGGTCCGTCCTGTGGTTTGTAAGTTATTTTGCTAACAGACAGACTAACTCTGACAGAAGGGTCCGTACCACGCTGGCCCCCATGCTGGTCTGCCCGCTCCCGAGCCACGGCATGGACGCAGAGACCGCCATGGGTGGAGGGGCGAAGGAGACCGAGCTGGCCTGGGCGATGTTGGTGTGAGAGGAACGAGGGTCGATGTCGTCGGAGCTGGAAGATAAAATCACAACCGGAGTTTAATCTTCTCCGTTAAAGACGTGAGGAGGAGAACTCTACGAGCCGCAGGGACTCAGACCTTCGGGACTCCTTATCAAAGTCTTCTCCGATCCAGGTGTAGGGCTGGACGGCCACTAACGTGGACACATCCACCTCCTGGACGTCGTGGGTGGAGGCTAACACGATCTCGTTGGAGTTGGCCTGTGAAGGATTAAAGATTTATTAAAATAAACAGAAGAAATCATTCAGTTCTGCTGCAGACTGTAGAAACCATGAAAATCAGATCAAACAATTATTTCATGTTGTTTTTCCTGATAAAAGTGTTTTTTAGCTTGTCGCTCTGRAACGAGCGGCCATCTTGACCAGGTCTTCCTGTGAAGAACAGATTGTAATCTGAAGGGACTTCCTGGTTAAATAAAGGTTAAAAATTCAAACTAAAAACTAGTTTTTTCTTGGAAACATCCAAGAAATATAAAACATAACCACCACAGAGGATTTCTCATTACTTTTTAATCCTGTATAAAGATATAACCTTTTTTTAAAATTTGGTTTATCATTGTATAATTTTTTTTAAAAAAAGGAGCAGATATCATAAGAATTTTTATCTTTTTCTGCTGCCTTTCATTTTATTTTGTTTTGTATTGTTTTGTTGTGTGTGAAATATTTTGTTTGTTTTTTAATGAAATGAATAAATGAATTAACAATAACTGACCTTATTGATGGCAAAAGCCATAATTATATCAGACTCTTTGTGGATGATTTTAGCCTTTCCTCCAGGATAGCCCAGATCTGCCTCCACCTGAAAAACAAACAGTATTTATGGATCAATGTTATTATTGACAGGTTATTACTGCAGGCTGATTAGTAACAAAGTTTGTTCAGAAGGATTCCTACTGAAATACAGAAATAAAGAAAAGAGCAGGGATATAATCATGTAAATACGGAGAGTTCTGGCTGCAGATTTGGGTTCTGGTAGTGAAACACCTCGCACCGTTAAAGCACCAACACTCAGCATGCATGTTAGTCCATCTACTGATGCTTTCAGGCCCAGAAGAACCGGCCCAGCTGGACAGGAGGGAGGAGTGAGACACGAAGGTCACATGTGAGGTGAGTGAGTGTCCCGGTCAGAGGGAGACTAAGTGTTAGACCTTAAATAAACAAACAAACAGAGGAGTCACCGTGAGGCCAAGCTGGACAGGAGAACCGGTGCTTCACCCAGTCTGGTGTCAACATTCAAACTTTACCTGCCAACCAAAGTCGCACACTACTTTTCTGAACATTTCCTGCATGTGCTCCTTCAAGCTTGGCGCTGCAGGGATTCTCTGCAGCAGCAGGACAGACAGAACCCGGGCCTGGGCCGCCACAGAAAACGGTACTACCTTATAGGGACTGCTAGCTCCGGCTATGCAGTCTGGGTTTACACGGTCCACATGGTTTTCTAAAGACTACACAACACACAGAGGGAACACAACACAACACAAACACACACACATGCAGAAACAGAAAAATAAACCATGAAATGAAAGGATAATGAAGAGGACTGAATGAGATTAAGTCTAAAGGTCTCGTTAGTCCTCCTCTGGTAAATGAGCATTAATTACTGAGCAGTYTCTTCTGTTAACCTGCAGCTACACACAAGGTTTTTATTTTTATAAACGTGTCCAGACATCACAGAAGGCAGCTTGATTAGACARGTCTGAGGAGTCAAAGCAAAGATTATGACAGCAACAAAAACAACACAGATAAACTCTGGAGGAGTTCTGCTTCACACCTCAACTCGTTTCTAATCTGGAACAATAGTTACTGCAGCAAACCATCCTGGGCRTTTAGGACTGGTCTGGTTTTACCAGAACCTTCAGAGAGCTGAGCAGAAACTAAGAAACTGAAGCAACGTTGGAATAAAGAGTGAATTTTCTGTTCTCCATGACAGACGTGACAAACCTATCAAATAAACTGCATTAAAATAAAAAATGTATGATCGATACAGGCTGCTGACCTCACTCTGCTTCCTTTTCTTAGTAAAGATGTAACGGATCAACGTTTCCTGAAGAACTTCCTGTTTGACCATAAAATGCCAAAGACGTCGAACCGGGAAGGACTGAAGGTTCTTTGTCCTGGAAAAATAAACAAAAATAAACCCAGAATAACTTTGAATAAATACAGTTGATGAGATGTGAGAACCTTTAAAGCTCAAAAATGTACCGATTTGTGAATTTATCACCCATGAACCAGTTAATATTTCTCTTTTATGGTGCAGTATGAGGGCCAAAATTAAAACTATTGCTCAACTAGTGGTTGATCCATCCTTGTAGCAGGAGGTTATATCTGTTCCTAAACAGCTATTGATCTGATTAATGAAAGGCCGACACCGCTAACTGAGAGGCTGGAGCTGGAAAATGAGGAGACAATTCATTTGTGTTAGCATCAGAGAGGCTAGCGACTAGCATGGATAAGCTGGTGTTAGCATCYYAGAGGCTAGCGACTAGCATGGATAAGCTGGTGTTAGCATCGGAGAAGCTAGCGACTACCATGTATAAGCTGGCATTAGTGTCAAAGAGGCTAGCGACTAGCATGGATAAGCTGGTGTTAGCATTGGAGAGGCTAGCAACTAGCATGGATAAGCTGGTGTTAGCATCGAAGAGGCTAGCAACTAGCATGGATAAGCTGGCATTAGCATCAAAGAGGCTAGCGACTAGCATAAATAAGCTGGTGTTAGCATCGGAGAGGCTAGCGACTAGCAAGGATAAGCTGGCATTAGCATCAAAGAGGCTAGCGACTAGCATAGATAAGCTGGTGTTAGCATCGGAGAGGCTAGCAACTAGCATATATGAGCTGGCATATGATTTGGAGTTTTAATTTTGTCCCTCATCCCGTGCCATTGTCTTCAGGCTGTTGTATAAATAATAAATCTAGAGGGAAACYACATGTTTGTATGTTTTTATTCTCTCCAAGATGGAGGACTCACTTGAACGGCGTGTTGTCTGGCTCCAGCATGGCCTTGTGCCTCAGGATGGCGGGTCCAGCTCCTGTGCTCAGGTCACTGGGGTAAGTGTTGATGTAGTTCGGAGGCGGACCGTCGAACTTGTTCATGCGCTCCAGCAGAAGCTGCTCCCAGTTCTCTAAAGTCTTAACCACAGCGTTGCTGAGAGGAGACGTGACTGGAAGGTCTGAGATAGAAAACACAGCAGTTTTACTCTAATATAAACCTTATTTACACACGTTGGGACACTGTTTCACTTTAAGTTTGTCTTTAGAACCCAATAAAAACCAGACCTGTTTAATTAAGGTTCCCACATCTTGGTCAATATCAAATTCAAGGACCTTTCAAGGACTTTCCAGTACCAGTTTCCTCAAATTCAAGAACCACACGCTATGTCAATTACCTGCTGCTACCACAGTGTTACCAATAAACAGGTTTATATCATGTAAATTCAATGAAAAACTGAACATAGAAGGAAGTGGATTAAATGTTTACATTCATGTCTACAGCACATGGACATGTAATTCTGTCCTGGGAGGTTCAGCAGCTCAGTTTGGGAGGAGGGGATGTGAACGTCCAGGAGGAGCTGTGCTGCTTCACCTGGGCTCAGAAAGAACGACCCGCCCTGCTCTGCTCTGATTGGTTAAAACTATGACTATGGCTCACGTTTTTTGTTAAAAACCACGTCAGTTTACGGTAATCCTGAGTTATCCACCGCAACAAATGTAAGGTGTTTTTATTTATTTATTTTTATTTTTTTACAGATGATGAAAATCAGTCGTGTGAATGGAGAACTTCAATCCCCAAAAATCATTCAAGGACTTTCAAGGACAAGTGTAATATTCAAGAAGAGGTCTCTGCGGATGAGTAGGCGTTTCCAAAGGAAGGCGCTTCTTTCAGGGGACACCTCTGATTGGACGAGCACAAAGGGGGTGTTACCCGACAAGCCCACCTGATTGGATGATGGTTGCTTCGGTGTTTCTTTAGCTTACCTTTTATAACCTAGCATCGGACTTTCATATGTTATTTTCATTACATTTAGTTTTACGAACTTGCTGTTGTTACTGTGGTAATTAGAAACATGCAGCAGGTTAGCTGCTGGTGTTATATGTTTATATGAAGACAGAGACCGTGTCGGACCCCAAGCCTTCATTCATTATTTCCACTTCTCTTAAAGAGCTCCAGCTTGCATTTCAAAATAAGAGCGACATCAGTCGAAAGTGTTTTTTGTTTTACTTTTTGAGACATTTAGAAATAGGGAGAACTAAATGTTTGGTTTTAATGATACATTGTGGTTTTTGGCTGCTAAAATTAATGTGAAAGTAGTTCAAGTCAAAAGTGAAAGAAAAACGAAACAGAAGAACCAATACGACTAGCCAATCAGTGTTGAAGCTTTAGACACYKCCACTCTTGTGACACGCCCACTTTGAGTCTGCAGAGAACTCCTTCTCGTAATTTTTGGCTGCTTTCACAAACTTTCTAGGGCCTTGAAATCATTCTTTCAAATTCACAACCTTTCAAGGATTTCAAGGACCTGTGGGAACCCTGTTTAATGATCTGGAACCAAAGGAGGACTTTCTGGTCTGGTTTTACCTGTGAAGTCCAGACCCGTGAGGGGGATGAAGTTCTTCACGTTGTGGTGAGCCAGTTTCACCATGACCAGGCGGATCAAAGCCCAGCTGAGGAAGAGGAGAAGGTTTGGACCTAAATCGTCACAGGTGGGTCGTGTTCATGAAGAGGAGGGGATGGACTCTACCTGTAGGAGTTGGGGTCAGAATGCTCTGTCATCTGTGTGTCAGAGAGGAAGGCGTCGTCATCTTCATCATCCTCAGCTCCACTTTCGTCTGAGTCGTACAAGGCGTTGCTGTCGGACAGTGGCAGGAAGGGCTGGCAGGAAGGAAGTGAACCATCAGATCAACAGGTACAGGTGAGTTACCTGCTGTTTGTGTTTCAGGTCTCACTTTAGCTACGAAGTAATCCCACATGCTGAGCTCAGGAGGGATGAACTTCTCCTTGTAGGTGGGTCTCTCTGTGGGCACGGGGGGTGGGGTGGCGGGGGTCTCCTTCACAGACTGCCTGGTGACCAGCATCCTCATGTTGAACCTGCGTCTGTACCGGTCCACGTCTTCTGCTGGAGGCTGGGGGGGCGTGGCTGGAAGGACAGGACAGCAACAGGACCAGCTTTGGTTTTTACTAAAACCACAAAACGTTGAAGATCAGGAGGAGGAGGAGGAGGAGGAGGAGGAGGACTGCATCCACACCTGTCAGAAACATCTGCACAAAACTCAGCTGCTGGGTCTTTAATGAGTCAAAGAACACACAAACTGTTCAAACACACAAACAGGGCGAGACACAAACCTGCACCATCATCCTGGGTGACTATCTCTGGCACTGGACCAGACGAGACACACAAACCAGAGCAGTTAGACAAAGATACAACTGTTACATCACACAGTCAGAACATCTCTGATGAACTGAGCTCAGAGCACAGGAACACACAGAAACACACACAGGAACACACAGGAACACACGCAGACACACACAGGAACACACAGGAACACACAGACACACACAGGAACACACGCAGACACACACAGGAACACACAGACACACACAGGCACACACAGGAACACACAGGAACACACAGACACACACAGGAACACAC